ACGTCTTGTGTGTAAGGGGGGGGATTTACTGGGGTTATCTCCGTGTGTGTCTGGGGCTGACGGGCATTTCCGCCTGCTGCCGAGAGGAAGGCTTGGTGCCCCTTCCGCCTAGGATCTGACACATGCCTTGAGTGTTGCTGTGTTAACGTGGCTGCTCCTTGCGCTTAGGAATCCTTCCAACAAAGAAGAAAAAGTACGTGCTGCGCAGCTTTCCTTTACCTTTTGGGTGTATGCCTGGGGGCGGTCAAGACTCCCGTCTGTAATGTAATAGCTCGTGTAAACGAAAGGGAGGTGGGAGCTATTGGTCGGTAGTTTCCTTGCCGGTTAACAGCACGGCCACATGCGTTTTTATCGTAGTTGATTGGTGCAGGCAAATTGTGCCCTGCCTCTTTAAATTCGTAAACGCGTGGAGTTGAAATACATGGGCTAGAAAGCTTTTGCTACCTTCCCCTCGCCCCCACGGAGGAGTCTTAGCAAGTGCCCGTGTAGGAGCTTAGAGCGCAGGCAGTCTGAAAGGAGCCGGAAATATGTTACATTGATGTTTGGCATAGATGCAGTCAAGTTAAAGGTGAGAGGATGCTGTCAGGATGGGTTTATGTGGGGGAAAGAAATTAAAAGTATAAGAATATGGAACTAAACCAAGCTTCCTTGAGGATCTGTGTGGGGATAGTGATCTGCCTTTTGGGACTGTTGGAGGGTAAATTAATTAATGTATAAACAGCACTGGGCACTTTGAAAAATGTAAAGTGTCCTAAGTATTATCTATAGTGAAGAGCTGGTGCCCTCTGACTTTCAGGTGGATTAGGGGATGACAAGAAACTTCTTGTTTTAATGCTGTTTTTTAAAAGATTTTGGATTAAGGTAGATTTGGCTGAACTTTCCTAACTTGAAAGGATTCTTAATAGTGACCCAGACTCTACATAAATACAGAAAATGAGAGCCAGATGCAGGATTGTGTCAAATAAAGTACTTTAGATTAATATGTATTCAAACTAGGTCTAACAAATTTAATTGTAAATGCTTAGTTTTGCCTATGGATATGTGCAATTGTGCTTCCTTAGAATTGGAAAATCAGCACTCCTGATGTGATTTTTCTTAGTGGTACACCTAACATGGTAGAAAGGCATCTAAAGTACATTTCCTAAAGAAAAGAAAGCTTCAGCAAATGTTTGATTGACACATATTACTCTAAAGTTGCTATAATGTAAATTAAATTATAGAATGTAATGAACACAGCCAAATGACATTTTGAGAGATTTTATTCTGTTTTTAGTAAAAATTCACTTTTATTATAATTTAATTCCTGTGCATACTGTAAAACCTTTTGTGGAGTATTAATGTGTAAACCTTAATCTTGTTTGTGGTAGATTAAATGTGACAATCTGACAGTGCTAGGTTTCTCTTCGAAGCACCCTAACAATAATGAGTTGGAGTTTGTTTGAGCTCCAAAGCCTTATTCACTATTTACTGTATAACTTTATACATTCAGGCTGTCTCTACACTGGCACCTTTTTCTGGAAATGCTTAAAATGGAACAGTTTTCCGTTATAAGTATTTCCGGAAAAAGAGCGTCTACATTGGCAGGATGCTTTTCCGGAAAAGCCCTTTTTCCGGAAAAGCGTCCGTGGCCAATGTAGACGCGCTTTTCTGGAAAAAAGCCCCGATCGTCATTTTCGCGATTGGGGCTTTTTTGCGGAAAAGACTACTGTGCTGTCTACATTGGCCCTTTTCCGGAACAGTTTTCCGGAAAAAGGACTTTTGCCCGAGCGGGAGCAGCATAGTTTTTCCGGAAAAGCAGCTGATTTCTTACAGTAGATCGTCAGTGCTTTTCCGGAAATTCAAGGGGCCAGTGTAGACAGCTCGCAGCTTATTCTGGAAAAGCGGCTGCTTTTCCGGAATAAGTGGCCCAGTGTAGACACAGCCACTGTGTGTGCACTGTATGGATCTAGGTTGTGTACCCATTAGCTAATGTGCTGAGGAATCTGTATATAATAAACTTTGTGCAATTTTTGGCCATAGTTTTGGAGTGTACAGTCACACAAGCCATTTACTCATACTCATAGACCTGTTTTTGATTTTTTTTCCTTTATTTCTTCCACTCTGCCCTAATTAGCATGATAAGGAAGGAATCAATTACTCTGTCCTGGGGATAAAGCAATACCTCACTCTTTGTACTGGGGAGTACTTTGTCTTACAATATTTTCTATACTAGATGTTCTTCCAGCATTTATAGTGGGATATTCAGTCTACTATGGAATTACATAAACTAAATGTTGTCCTATGTTAGCACTTGGATTATCTCACTCAAGTGGGATATTCTATACATCTTATAAATAACACAGTCCTATTGCTGCTCTGTCAAGCAGAACTTTTTCAGCTCTGGCTGTAGTGTGAAACCAGCTACAAAGTTACATCAGTTCCACAACGAATGCCCTACTCCCCCTTCTTGCTGGGAAACCTGTGGGGAGGTCATGTGAGATTCTATTGCTGGAAATAAGGGACAAAACTAGGCCCAAGTACTAGCTACTGGTGATTACCCCTTCTGAATTATTAGAGGAGTCATGTTTACTGTTCCTAGACCTCTTCCTGCACTATAATGTAAAACAGTGGGCATTTGAATACTGCAGTTAAGGATTGTATCAATGTTAATTAAAATACGCAACCAAGAACACTGTTTGCACTGACTTTTTTGTATTATTCACTTCTTTCACTAAATTATCTTTGCTTTTCAGCAGAGAGACTTGAGCACTTGGAGGCAGGCCTAAAGCATCCAAGAAAGCTGGGATTAAGTAATAAAGGCCTTATTTACAACCTGACTATATTGGAAACAAACTGAGAGTTTTGACGGGTGCCAAACATGAGCCCTCACTCCACTTGTTATTGAAATTGTTTAAAATGGTTCAGCTGGGCACCAAGTTCGGCCCTTTATCCTAGTAGAGGTCCATCATGCATCCTGAATCCGGTGTTGAAAATGGTTTGGCACCACCTATGGACCACTTGCCAGACTGTGTTTAACCATGAGTGAGGAAAGAACCATATTTGACAGCTGCTGCCAAATGGTTTGGCATAACCTGTACACCACTTGACAAACTGGATTTAACCATGATTGAGGGAAGAACCGTATTTGACAGCTGCTGCCAAATAAGTCGCTGTATGTTGTGCAGACAGATCCTTGGCAGCGCTTGGCTATCTTTGTGATGAGCAAGGATTAAATACCTAGATGGATGCTTGGGGAAGTGCTGTACTGTTTCTCTGAAGAGTTGCAGTTACAGTTCCTGGTTGGAAAATAGTCATGTGATTTTTTTTTTTTTTTTTTTTTTTTTTTTTTTATAATCATCTTCACTGAGAGCAGGATAAAGGTTATAATGAAAGTGTGGCTCTACTTATGTTCTTGGTTTATTAATAATCTTGATAGATCATTGAGCAACTTGCCCATCAAACAATGTGTTAAGGTCCTATGACTATTCTATTTGAGATGCACGGCTAATAGGCTTGAATTAGATGTAACTAAGGGTAACTTGTCCTGCAGTACCTTTTACTTGGGTCATGATGCATGAGGGTGAGAGTGAACCCACCCTGGCTGTCAGATCTCATATTTTTGCAGGACTAACAGGAAAAACTAAAGATTGTTGTTGGTATACTGAATACATTTGATATAAAAATATTAAGATAAATATAGAAACTCGGTGTGATCAGGTGTCACTTTTCAAAGCAGAAGTGCATTTTTATTTAAAAATTGTGTTGCGCACACTGTTTTTAAATGAAACTGCTTGGCTTGCACAAACAAACCAGGGAATTTAAACTTAAAGCTAAATCTTGTCCCTTTACTTTTGTCTTCTGTCAAGATTTTGCAGCACATTGTTAGGATTAAAAAAAGAGCATAATTTGTCTGCTGCCATTGATTGTTTAAAGTTAGACCTGTTCACAAAAGAGAACTGATTTCTAAATAGTAATTAATAGTTAAAATACTGAAGCATTCCAGCATCTAATTGGAAGCAGGTGGAATTCTTGGCATCCTGTAGCTGAACTGGATTGTACCAAAACACGGGACTTGTTGCTTATAGCTGTTCATTATACCACTGTTAAATCAAAAGTGGATCTAGAGATAATTTTCTTTTCACAAGTGTACAATTTCTGCCCTCAGGGTGGGCTGAAGGAACCCTTGCTATAGTGTCAATGATGGGAATTAGGCACCTGTCAAAAGAAGATGCTCCAAGGTTTAGCATTAGATAAGGAATGTTAAAATGCGTGCGTTCAGGTGAACACGTAGCCATTGAAAATTTCAATGATTACACAGTTACGTGCGGGGGTGGAGGCGCGGCTTCTCACGAGCTGCGTGGAGCCCCACTCCCGTGCTGCTGCCTCTGTATAAGCTGGGGTGGGGGGTGGGGCACACTCACGGGCTGCTACAGCCAGGCTTGTGGGGGAGGGCAGCACTCTAGCCCAGCAGTGGGTGGAGAGCATCACTTTAGCTGGGCTGGAGAGACCTTCCCCCCTTCAATCATTTAACCAGTCAAACAATATGTTAAATGGGATTGTATATCCCTAATTGTTGTTACAAAAGGAAATACAGACTGAAACTGTGGTAAACAGGTAATTATTTACTTGCTGCTTTGTAACTTAAAAGTACACAGGTGAAGCACTTGAACTTCTTTTAGGGAGAGGAACGTTAAAAGGGAAATATTGTGTTTAAAAACCTAATGATACTTTATTAAGAAGAAACTGAAATAAGGTTGCCTTATGGCAAGTGGAAGTCAGATGCTGGGAGGAGTTGGAAACTTTTTCCTTTTGGCTTGCTGTTCTCCCCGCCCCCTCCCCCCCCAATCTCTACAGCTTAATGTTTTGGCTAGATTTCCACCTACCACCATACGCTGCCTTATATATCTGCAGATAACATCCTCAGCATCAATAGTGGAAGCTACATCCTACTAGCAAGGTTTGCTAGGAAGTAGGGATGTGAATGTGTGCCTGTGTATGTAGTTAACCGATGAGCATGGTTAACGTGCGTGGTTACATCCAGCCCTCGGCAGACGGGAGCCAATATATACGGGAAGCCAGCTTTGAAGTTGGCAGCAGCAGGCGGTTTGGGGGACTGGCAGGAACTGTCTTAAAAGCTTGTTTCCCCACAAGCACCGGCTCCCCCAACTCTGTGTAAATGTGACATTTCCAGTGGTTACACGTTTACCTAAATAAACACATTTTAACATCCCTACTAGGAAGACAAGCTTCTGTTGTTACTATTATGGGTATTTTCAATCCAGTCTAAATATGAAGTTCATTTTACTAACTGTATCTATTCCTTTTTGTTTGTTTGTTTGTTTTTTCCCTTAGAGTGAGTGAAATGATTTCTAATTTGATCCTCTCCAGAGCAAGTACTTGAGTTTTCTTTGTGTTTGTCCAGGGACCTGATTCTGATCTGAGCCTATGGGCACAAGTGAAATAGAATAATAAATGAAAACAAGAACAGTGATACATTTTCATCTATAGTTTATCTCCCCTCCTCCTCCATTTCTGGAAACAGTAAGTGTGGAAGTATTTCATCCTTTCTGTTGGGGACATTGGATATTG